AGATTTAATATACAACCACAATAATATCAATTAGATTTTATTTACTGCATATAATCATATCATTATATTAATACTATGATATAAAAATCTACTATTACTCAAAAACTACTAAAATGTCATTTCTCTTTATTTTTTTTTAATCATATTAAATATTATCAAAAGACAAATTCATCATATTGTATACTTTTTTTTTTTTCTCATGTTTACAAAGCATAATTAATAATCATGCTGTTCATTATGATTTATTTATTTATTTTTAATTTTATATTGTAAATATACGAAGGTTATCATGAACATTACGATTTCAATCATATTCTCAATACTAATCATCACAACAAACTCACTCATTGCATATGACTGCTCGATAGATCACCTTAACATAACGTCAATTAGTAGTCTTTCGATAGAGCATTGTGAAAAACCAATTCCAATAAAAACAATGAAAATAGATCGAATTAAGTTATTACAAAAAACTGAAACACACAGTATTCACTACAAAACGTGCTTAATAGCTATAGATTACTTAATCTTTAAATGCTCAACATTTGGAGACTTACAAGCTCTTCCTGATGGCTATTATTCAGAAGTATCAGAAATAGGTACTGCCCGATGTGAAGAAATTCACAAAAAATTAATCTATCAACTACCACTGGGAGGACTCGTACATAATTTAAAAATTAATCACACAACTCAGGCAGCCTACACGATTGCAGGATCTATTGACCACAAAGGTAACTGTGAGGGCACAACATTTATTAGTAATAGAGGCACATTTCATAAAGCTATAGTACAAGCAAAACTTGAAATAACGTTAACAGATGGTTACGCAATAGCAAATTATAGAGAAAACTCCATAATATTACCAAATGGTGTAAGATTTCAATTATCAGAAGCATATGGGTTTGACTCATCTAAAGGTGAGGTCATATGGAACTCAAATTCTCAAGATTGTGACATGGAATACGACGTTTTATATGATGGCCCAGCATCGGTCATTTCATCAAAAACTATCTCAAATCCATCTGATGAAATAAAAACATTCCTAGTCGAAACAGAAGGAATTGCTTTTGCTTTAAAATATATAAAAAATATCTTTGCTTGTGGCATACCAGTAATTCAAACAGAGCACCCACAATTATACATTGTAACTCAAACTCAACATTTAGAAAATTTCAAATTAAAACCAATTTCTCCACAGCACACAGATCTAATATCTTATGTAAATACAAAATTTGTATGGCTTGAACATCGTTTTGCAAGATCACTAATCGAATTGTACATTGATATCACAACTAAACAATGCATTTTAGAACGAAAGATATTAATGCAAAAATTATCATTAGCTGCGTATAGTTTACCAGAATTTGCATTTGCTATGTGCGAAACACATGGGTGCATGGCAATATCTAGCGGAGAAATCATTTATCTCATGAAGTGTAAACCAGTTCCAGTTGAAATAGCCAAAAGAGACACTTGTTTCCACGAATTACCAGTAATATATCAAAATCAATCATACTTCATGTCACCAAAATCACATATATTACAAAAATATGGAACCGAAATTACTTGTAATAACAGACTTCCGTCCGCATATCTTTTAGATGGAGATTGGTTTGGATTAAGTCCACATTTAGTTGATGTCAAAAAACCACAAACCTTAAAACCTGAAATAAAATTTACATGGAATTACAAATCTCCAGAATATCTCATGTCCGCAGGTATTTATAATCGTGATGTAATGCGAGCATTACAAAAACATTTAATGTTCGCTCAAGAAATCACAGCTATACAAAATAACATAGTTCGTCAATCATTAGGATATGAAGTCACTAACCAATTAAACCTACACAAACTTATAGATCCAACAATTATAAGCTCAATGGTGGAAGATAAATTACATCAAATGTGGGGATGGTTTACGTATTTTGGTTCTTTAATGTCTGGTATACTGGGTGTTATATTTATAATTAAGATTGTTACTATTATTATAAACACTTGCATGAATATTCAATTATTATATAACATATTCGGTTGGAGTCTTAGACTATTTTATGGCTTATTTAATAATATCACTCATTACTTTATGCACCAACATCACCAACAAAATTACAGAAATAATGTTGAATTAATTAATAATAATCTACCTGCTGTAAGTCTTTATGCACCACAGGTAACAGCTCCAACTTTCGTTTATCCAAACTTACAAAGATCAAATCCATAAAATGGCAAACAATGCAGAAGATAACCCATTCATTCATTATACTTATCCATATTACAATAATCAACCAATAATGACAATATATGATCCAAATAAAACATATGATACTTCAAAATTCTACTCGTGGCGTTATGGGAAAATGGTGTACCTATTTCCAAAACCCATAAAAAAGGCATACAAACGTAATAAGAAGACAAGAAAAAACAATCAAACACTTCAATAATGGTTCATGTATTAATTGTTATTATATATACTTATTCTCTAATATTGCCTAATATTTCATGAAATTATAATTTATTTTAATACTTCAAGTCATTAAACATGATATATAACAGACTAATGCACACACAATCTAATCCATTATGCTTATCATCATTACAAGTTTTGAATCATCAATAACAAAAAAATTATACATTCATGTTCTATAATACAATTTAATTTTCATCCCTTTTAATATTTAGGCACTTATATCAACAATATTCAAAACAATCCATAATGAATAACCAAGCATTTTCAACTAGAAAAATCAGACTTAGCTACCCTCCACTATTACCACATACACCGAAAAAAAAATAACGATCCTCATTATAAAAAAATACCACAAATATCTAAATTAAAAATCATTNATAACGATCCTCATTATAAAAAAATACCACAAATATCTAAATTAAAAATCATTAGTAAAAATTTGTTTATAACACTTATATGGGACTTAAAATTCAGTACAAATAATGCTAAAATAAAACATTTTGAAATATTTATATGCGCAGAATACAACATTATATCCGATATTTCTATGTGGACAAAATTTATAATAAAACCTTTACCATTACCTATGGCTTCTGAATTCCTCGCCTTTCAATTCGGTTGTATATATTATTTTGCTATTAGAGCACTAGATGAACATGATCGATACACATCATTTACCCAAACACAAATATTTATACAATAATTATTTTACATAAAATAATATCTTATTATTACTTGTTTAATCGATATTTACTTAAATGACAATACATTAATCATACTTATGTAGTTATTAATATATTTTGTCATTATAATTATTTTATTATTCTCATTATTCTCATTATTATTATTATTATTATTATTATATTCTTTTATTACTCAAAGTAATCATACATGTATAAAACCTTATACTTTAATCACATATAATATCATGCTATTATCACATACAATAATTGTTGTGAGGACACAAGATTTAAAAAATTGGGGTGGATGTTATAATACATACACCACTCATTATTCAGTAGTATATATGTTAGTATCTATTAGTCATCAAATTAAAAATATCATTCATGTTAATACTTTAAGCTATTCCAAGAAATATGTCTAAAAATACATTGATATAAATCTACTGTAATAATTATAAGAAATTCTTTAGTTGTGACAAATTATCTATTTTAAGTAAAATAATATGTAATAAATAACACAAATTGAGTAATAAACAGATAATAGTAAAAGGTCGTGACACTTCTTGCATAGATAGATGAATTAAATTTAATATAAAAGGGCATAAAAACTGTCAATCTCTCTCACTACCACTTCACCTTATGAACTTTTAACGAATGCAAGAAGTGGCTTGACAAAATACGATTTTACATAGAAAATTGAAGTATATTCATTTTTTCAACATTAGTCCTGAAATCATTAAGGTAAATTCATATTCAAAGTAAATATAATGAGTACATAAATTAAGTAGGAAACCAGAAAAAGTAAAGTGATCTCTAGAATAAAATATTGTCTAAATAAATAAAGAGAATCAATAACGTTTGTACGAAGTTAGCCAGCCTAGTCTAATCTTTGAGTGGGTTAACTGTGTAGTCAATACTAATAAAGACTCTCTTGCGAAGATAGAGAACCCACTTGTGGTTCCTATACTACTCGAGGTTTTTATTGACTCGACTCACAGTCAGCACAAGCCTAGATAACTACTGGTACGAGTGGCGTTGTTGATGATCTATGTGTGATAATTAATCACAATAATTTCTATTTAAAATTATTATTATATTAATACATTTTCAAACATCACTTTGTTTTTCTATATTTTACATCTTCTCATATACCCTCGTACTCATATCCCGAGAGAAAAATTATATTGTATCATTTTCATTATTCAATAAATATTATAGTAACTCAATTATTCTCATGCTCATATAATACCAACAAATATAAATAATTTTAATAAATTATCCTTTTAATTACTAAATAAAAATCTTCTTAATAATTTTCTCCTTTTATTTTGAGTTACTATAGTGAAAATGGCTACCAAATGCTATTTTTGTATAAAAATTCTCAATTTATTTTTTTACATTTTTTACTTTATGATGCTATAACTTATTGAAAAGTGTATGGATCAACACAATTTTTTTACGAGAAATAATATTTATATCTCTTTTTCATTCGACATACTTTATCTTAATTAGTATAGTAATAAGAACATAGCAGATTATGTAGCTCTAGTATAATCCACCAATTTTTTAAAATTAAACATAATCTAAAGTTTGCATTGAAGCGTTTTTTAATGATTTTAATCACTGTCGAATATCATTATACTTGATCCAATCATGCACGTCACCAATGTGCTGGGTTTTTTTAGTTATTTTTGAATAATTAAAAATTAATAACACATGAATAATTCAATTATGTTTTTATTATGTTTTTTAATTTGAAATATTAGTTGATAAAATTTTAAGGAAGTAAGAAAGTAATAGGATGTTTTTTTTTAATATTATAAAACATTAGAAATAATAAACTTCTATAATGAAAAAATCATATAATGTTGTATATTTTTACAGATTTGCGTGAAACACAGTTTAATAATTTCCTGTAACATATTTTATGATTTGTATAAAGATAATTTACAAAAGACTGAGGTTTGATTAAAGTTTGAACAAAATATGTAGTGGTCTAAAATAATTAATAATTAATAACAATATTAAAAAAAGGAAAAGTTATAATAGTTATAAAAATAATGAATAAAATTATGCTGTGTGTAACATTAATTAACAAAAATAATAATCTAGAATGAATGAATTTTAAAAATGATTTAAAAAAAAGAATCTAAATATCTTTTTTGGGAATAATAAATTATTTAGATTAAAAAGTATATGTATAATATGATATTTTAATTGATAGTTGTTTGTAAATTACAAAGTAAGGAAGAACAATAAAGAAAAAATATATTATGTATTATACTACCTAATAAAAAAATCCAAAATTTCTGCACAATAAGGTAACACCTTCATCAATTTTTCTGGTAAATTGAGGGTTAATAGGTTTATCATTTCTTTCTAGTAATTTCAATTCAGTAATATAGTTTTCTAAGAAAGGTTCAACTTTTGTTTCAAAAATATTTTCTAGTTTAAGATGTGCGTATTTTGTAGCAAAATTATAAATTTCGTGAAGTGTTCTATTTATAAATTCANTTTTGTAGCAAAATTATAAATTTCGTGAAGTGTTCTATTTATAAATTCATAATTTAGAGTGTTGTCTGAATTATGAAAGTTTTTAATAGTAGTCAATTCGTTAGTTAATAATAATGTTCTTTTGAGAACATTAAATACTAAGTTCTCATCAGTACATTCAAAATAATTTAATGCATTAGTCATACAAGACATTAGTGGTTTAAACATAGAAAACATTTCGATTAATTTTTTCAAATTCGTCCATTTAGATTCCTCATTTGAGTATTGCATACATTCTAATGACATATCTCTATAGTAATCACGTAAAGGATTTAGCATATCTGAATAGATTTTACTTAATACCGAGGAAGCACTTAGCTTTGATATTTCAAATTCGGTTTTATTGACATTATTGACAGAAGAATAGGTATAGACATATACATCGATTGATACTATTTCTTCTTTTACGTTTATAATTTGTAAACCAACTATATTTTTCCATCCTCTAGAATTAACAATTCTATTAAATTCAGCAACTTCGTTAGGATTTGCCATTGGTTCTGGTTCTGGTTCTGGTTCTGGTTCTGGCACTGGCTCTGGTTCTTGCATTACTCTATGCCGACCAAATCTGCTACTAGTAAGACATATTAACATAAAAAAGAAAATAAATCGTGTGNATTTATTTTACGCCGACTAAATATGCTACTAGTAAGACATATTAACATAAAAAAGAAAATTAAGCGTGTGAGCAACATCATAAAAATCGTAATTAAAAAAAAAAATAACTTACTCCTAGAAGCCTTATATCATTATTCCTTTTAATTTATATGTATAGAGTATTTACATTTATTAATAGTATATGTAAAATTATTATTTATGTATATTTGTTTTATTATTATTTAGTCGTATTTATTTAGTTAATAGNTTTATTTAGTCAATTGAAGTATTTTTGTGTTAGATGTTCATATATCATTATACAGCATAAAAATAAAATTGTACTTGTCAAACAACATTTTTTAAACTTCTAATCCCAATTCAAAACTAAAAGTTTATTTACAAATGTGGTATTATCGTTTGATTTTTGGCACTACAGAACACGCGCTCGCAACAGTTTAGGTTCAATAATGATACGGTAAATCATTACTAAACATTCTATAATGCACCGATTTATTGTACTTTTTTCTAATTCAGACAATATTGTTGATGTCTAATTATTGTATTATCGTCACCTTTATCGTATGTCAAAATTAGCTGATAAATATAATATAGATCTAATTGTAAATAGTATATGAATTTAAAAATAATTTAAAAATAATGTAATTTAAGGTAATTTAAATGTTTAGATTATTATTGTATGCTGTTGTATATTTCTGCCGTGCTAAGCAAAAACAGGATAACTCCAAAATTAAAATTTTTTTGTTTCAATAGGTAAATTTAGTGGTTTTACACCGATTTTTGATGTAAAAATAGCATATTTCCTATTAAAAACCATCTAAAATTGAAATATAAAATAAGAAAATATACGGTAAGTTCAATATATTTGATGTTTTGTAAGCGAAAACACGGTAAATTCAAATACTAAGCAAAAACATGGTATATCACATAAAAAATGATGAATTTACCGTCTTTTGGCTTATGTTTATACATTGGGGAAAAAGGGTATCTTGATTTATTGTTAAAAATGTTTTTTTGTGTTCCTGAAAAATCATGTTGACTGAAGTTATCCTGTTTTCGCTTACCACGGCAGATTTGTATATTGTATACTTTAATATTTAGTTTTTGATTGGATTAAGGTCCATATGAAATATAAAAAAAAAGACATACGCAAATTGTCCAATAATACTGACCTACAAAAAAATAGTAGCTCTNCTGACCTACAAAAAAATGGTAGCTATTTTTAATTTTTACATAAAATCCATAATAGAAATTTTATTAACTTTTAATTATATCTGTAATTTAAAAAATCCATATTAAAATTAAAAATTAAATATCCTCATAACCATTTGTCCTATCCTAAAGTCTCTGGTGTCAATTTGAACTGTTTTTAATTCTATCTAAAAAAAAAAAAGAAATAATTAAAATTTATTATAAATATCATGATTGCGATTAGAAATTATTAATTTTGCTGATGTAATTTTAAAATTAGAATCAAATAATCAGACAGGCTTTAGTAAATTGAAAAAGCTTTATCTTAGAATACTTGATTTAAAACATTTCTCTGACTATTTTCTTTTCTTTATAGAATCCTTATAATTATCCTCAATAACCTTAGTTCATGTTCGTCATAGGTCTGGCACTCTTCAAACCGCACCCGTATTGTCAGATTCCGGATCGCAAATTAGTGCCATGACGACGGCATTCGCGGATCGCCTCGGCCTTCCTCGCTCTCAATGGACTCAGTCCATTACGGGTGTTTCTGGGATTTAGATTCCCAACACCCGAGTTGTTATGACGTGTCAGATGCAGCCACGTTATTCCAGCGAACCCCATATTGACGGTCAAAGCATGGCAATGTATTAAAAAGGGATTCGAAATAACGCGCGCTTCATTGGGAGATTATAATCAACTTGGTCTTAAATCAAACCTCTTATTAAATTTATAATTAAATAATGTTTTTATATTTAAAAAAAACATAGAGTTATATGACATTAGATCATAACATGTTATGATTATAATACATGATACCAACTTTTCAGATGTGTCTGATGTTGATGTCTTCTCATATTATCCTTTCTGAAAAAATGTTTGCTGTAAACTGTTTAATTTGTGTTTATGAACAGACTGCTCATGACGTTCCAGATCTTTCAGAAAACTGAAAGTCTTACCGCAAACACAGAATAAGTGATTCATATTTGATGAGTTGACGATTGAAAATGAAAAGGCTTCAAGGTAATGATTTAACAGACAAACGAAAATTAAGTCCGGGGAAGAATGATTTTTTGGTTTTATTAAGTATACTTTAGCAAACCTCAGCAATTTCATACCACAGTATCTCCTACCCCTGAAGCTGATCATTTTTGTAAGACAATTTCGTGTTATGACCATTCTTTGACGTCCATTGGAATTTAAAATTATTTTACGTGACTTTTGTTAAAACCTCAAGGACAAACGAAAAAAAGCTAATGCTAGACTTTATATCTTCCGCCCTCTACTTAAGTCTAAACTTCAACTAAACACAAAAATGTTGATTTACAAAACTATTATAAGACTATTATAATATAACCTATTATTTCTGACTTCGGCACCACTGGTATCAGTAAAGATTATTTAATGAATTCTACTTTCATTTAAATTACTAAATAACAATTTTATACTACATTTAATTGCTATAATAAATATTTATTTTTATATTATACTTTTAAATTTAAGAACTACTAATCAAGATATAAATAAGGAAATAGGAGATCATGTTTCTTTTGGAATAATTCACCATTTTTTAAAATTAAACACCATTTACATATTTACATCGAAGCAACCTTAGTATATTTTTTAAATCCAAGAAAATCATTTTGCCTCAATCGTCAACTTTTCGCACTGCCCTTTATTTTAACACGCTTATATTAGTTTCACTTGTATGTTGTGGGTTGTGTGTTTGTTTGTAAATCTCCACCAGCCACGTGTTATTATACTTCCGTACCCCGTCGTCTATGGACTTAAGACTAGACGTCGTTCACCCCACCCTGATCACCACTCGCCGTAACAATATTTTCCTATAAAATTTTATTTTTGGTTTTCGTACCCGTGACTGACCAATACCGCCCTCGTCTAATGCGCCTTACGTATATATATTTATATATTCCTACCGCCGCTGAAACCATTTATACCTTAGGTATAACGTTCCCCCCCCACAAAACAAGGCTATACCTAGTGCATGATACGTTTACGTACTTAAGTCGCTTTACTTGTATATATATATATTCTAATTACTATTGAATTTAAAACTAAAATTTACATATTAACATGCTTTATTCTAATTAAGAGATATAAGTATTCATTCCGATTACGAGGGATGATTTCCGTATCGTCATTTTTCGTCACTACGTCCACGTTCAGGGAGTGAGTAATTTGCGCGCCTGCTGCTTTCCTTGGATGTGGTAGCCGTTTATCAATCTCCTTCCCCGGGATTGAACCCAGATTTCCCGTTACCCGTAACAACCAAGATATTGATAGTAACTACTATCATAACATGAAACTAAAAAGTGAAAAATAAATATAGTTTAAAAAAACTAAAAAAACACGCTTTTAAAGCACATTTAACTAAAAATTATTTTTAACTTTTTAGTTCGATGTGCTTTAAAAGCGTGTTATTTTTAGTTTTTTTAAACTATATTTTTTTAAGACTCTAGGCGACGGTCAGTGGTATTGTCATTTTCGTTGCGTCGTCATTACTGTTTTATATTAAATTGTTGTTTTTAACTTTTTACTAAATTAAATTGTTGTAATAACTAATCGTTTGGACGTTCTCGGTCGAGATTACATAACAATCGAATATCGTGTTTTTATATTGGCAAAACGTATCGAAACAGTAGAACGAACATGACAACAACTTTTGGACCAGTATTTCAGAAGTTATTGAAATTTTTATTCCTTGTCAATTGTACATTGATTGCATTAAGAAATTAAATAATAATTATTCCAAAAAATATTACAAATAAAAAATCTTTTTATTGTTTATTGTTTATTGTATAATCTTCATATTGTTTAATTTGGTTTTTAAAATATTANCGGTTCTGGAGACGACGGCGCGCCCCCCTAAAAATCGGTAAAAGGAGATAGCATATTGGAGCTGCGGTGGCCCTTATTTTAGTCGAACCATTCAAACCGATAAGCAGTCGGCAAACGCTAAAAAGGCCGAATGGGAAAGAAAACCGCACCGGGCAAATTACTTATTTTAGTTCTAAGTAGTAATAAGTTCTACCCAAATTTGAATAAGACGTACAATTTCAAATACATTTTGTTAGCCAACGGGCTCCTATAATAACGGTTGGCCCGTATGACTGATATGGTAATAATCAACACAGTTAAAAGAACTGAATTAAACCAATGTATACCCAAATATAATAAAAGAGATTGATATTCGTACAATTCCTATTTGCATATATTATAAAAATAAAAATATGGTATTTTGTTCCGTTATATTATAAATAGAACTNTTTAATTATTTATTTATGCTAAACATCCATGTAAAACTATTTCTATAGTGATTATAAAAGTTTTATTATAATTTAATCTTATTATACTAATCTTATATAATAAATGGTGGAAGAATTACTTAAAGAGTTAAAGAGTTAATAAAAAATTTTTTATTTTGACTGACCAATACCACCCGCATGTAATGCGCCTTACGTATATATATTTATATTTATATTTTTTTCTCTGGATAAATTGATATTAGATACTATAGTCAATTTTGCATAAAATTATGTAAAAGTTTTATTTAATTTTAAACATTTTATTTTAACAAATTTGAATCTGCATTAGTTTTGTGAATAAAAGAATAATATTCTTGTTTTTGTATTACTTTAATATTTGTTATATACAACTGATTACATTTTGTATTATTTATATAAATTTCGCATCTGACCGTTTTTCATGAAAAGCTAAAGTTTAATATACATTAATAATGCTGCAATAAATCATTTATATCAATAGAAAAATATATTTTATACTGCATATTTTCAGCTTGTAAAATAAAAATTTATATATTACCTCTGTTGTTCAAGACCATCCCTATGACAGCGTCGGTGATGTCACATCTCTTAATGAACATTATTTTATAACATGACACGGCCCGCGTGTCATGTTATATATTATTATCAGGGCCGAATTTAGACTTTTGGATGCCCGGGGCAAATTTTTTTTTTGAGGCCCTTAACAGTAAAATAAATAAATACTCATTANCTCTGGGAATTGTAAAGTTTCATTTCATTATTATTTTTACAATCGAAGTAGTTAAGGAAAAAAGTTTTAAAATTCCGTTTCCTTCTTTTCCCTGTTCACATAATAGTGAAGCTCTATGTGATTTTCTTAATCTTCTCTTTGATTATCCTGCCCTAATTAACAGCAGAAATAAACTATTTAGCCTCTTAGCCTCCCACAATATTAATCCCATTTCCGTAGCTAATACTCTTAATTCCCGTTCTTCCATTATAATTATTTCCATTATATCTTTTTTGAGGAGTTTCGTCTTTGTTATTTAATCTTTAATTATTTTATTATTTTTTAGTTATTCATTTACCTATTTTTTTTCTCTCTTCATTTATTTCAATTAAAAATTTTAATTTAATAATTTTTCACTTTGACATTAAAGGCTCTGTTAACAATGATTTTAAATAATGTTTAATTTATTATAATTTTGAGTATACTAACAATTATTACAACAGACATAAAAAAAAAAAAAAAAAAAAAAAAAAA